ATAAAGTAAATTATTTAAATTTTAAAAATTAATTTAAAAATAAAAAGTAATAATAAAAAGAAAACTATAAAGGATAATACCTTTTAATAGCCTTAATTATAAGCTAAATATAAATAACTAGTTAGGTTTAATTAAAATAGGGTTCTTATTATAAAATAAAAAATTAAATAATTAATTTAATAATATTAAATATAAAGATAAAAGGTATAAAATTTAATTTAAAAAAGTATAAAAAAGTTAAGGTATTAAGGGAATTTTATTTTTTTATATTTATTACTATAAATAGCCTTTTAACCTTATTAATAAAGTTAAACCTTTTATTTTAAAATACTTATTATAGCTATTATAATATAAAAGTTAATTTAATTTTTTTAAACTTTTAAATTTTATTATTACTTTATATTTATTAATTTCTATTTATAAATATATTGTCTTTAGTTTAAATTATTACTTTTTTATTAATATTACTTTATTTATAGTTCTTAAATATAAAGTTAATTAATTATATACTTAAGTATATATATTTAATTAATAGATTTATTATTAACTTTAGGTTAATTGAGCTTTTATTAATTAACTTATATAAAAGTTAACTTAATTCCTTTAATATAACCTTTAAACCTTATTATTACCCTGCTTTTATTTTTATATTAAAAGCAGCACCCCTTTTATTATAATAACCCTTTTAGCTATATTAAAAAGCCACTTTTTATATATATTTAAGTTACCTATAAAGGCAGTAAGGAATATAACTTAATTTAATTTAAAGAGATAACCTTTCTTTAAGACCCTCTTTAGGTCTTTTAGATTTAATAGCTTATAATTAACTTAAATTAAATTAATTAAGCTAAAATAGCCTATATAATAAATTAATTTAATTAAGTTATAATTAAAGATAGCTATTTTAATAAGGTTAAATTAATACCTTAATAAAAAGTTCTTTTTAATAGTGATTACTATTATATAAATCTTTTTTAATTTTTCTTTATTAGCTCTTTATAAGGCAGGCCTAATAGTTATATTAAGGTTATAGCTAATTATATAATAGGCCTAATTATATAGCTATAGGCTATTTTATATAGATATTATATTAATAGCTATAATTAATATTAATAGCTATAATTAATATTAATAGCTATAATTAATATTAATAGCTATAATTAATAGGTATAAAAAAAGTTAGGTTAGGAAATATACTTTATAATAGACTTAGCCTAATATATAAAAAGGTTAATTAAAGATCTTTTAGATATAATAAAGGAAAAAGGCTAATATAGCTATTAAAAGACCTGCAGGCAGTATTAATACTGCTTAATTAAGGTAGTAATTATATTATTAAGGTAAATAAACTTTATATAATTTTAACCTTTAAAATATAGGCCTATTATAGAGGCCTTATTATTTAAGCCTTTATATATAAAGTTAATAACTTAATGGCCTTATAAGGCTAATAATAAAAAAAGGAAAAAAAAAAAAAAAACTTAATTTAATATTATTTTAATTTTTTAATTAAAGTAAAAACAAAAAGGCTAATATAATTATTAAAAGGTAAACCTATAGGCAGTATTAATACTACTTAATTAAAATAGTAATTATATTATTAAGGTAAATAAACTTTATATAGTTTTAACCTTAAAGATATAGGCCTATTATAACGGCCTTATTATTTAAGCCTTTATATATAAAGTTAATAGCTTAATAGCCTTATAAAGTTAATAATAAAAAAAAAGAAAAAGTTTTTTATATTATATTATATTATAATTTAATTTAATTTACTATTAATTTATTAAGCTAGTTTTAATTTATTAATATTTATAGTTTTTTTTTATATTAAAAAATTTATTTTTTAATTTACTTTTTTTTACTTTATATACTTTATTATATTAAGTAACTATAAGCTTTTTTAAAGTATTATAATAAAGTAACTATAATATTATTAATAAATTTAATATAAAAGTATTTAAGTTAAATAACTTATTATATATTAAATAATTAAAGTATAATATATTATAAAGATTAATATAAAAAATTAAAGGCTTAATAGCCTTATTAGGCTAATAGTAAAGAAAAATAAAAAAAATAATAAAATAAAATAAAAGTTAATATAAAATCTTTAAAGTAAAATTAAAAAAAAAAGATTTTAATTAATTAAAAAGTAAATAAAGCTTTTTAGTTAAATTAAATATATTTAAATTTAAGTTATAATTAAAATAATTAATTTAATAACATTAACTTAATAAAGCTTTATTATTTAAAAGATAAAAAATATTTAAATTATAATAAACTTTAAAGATATTTAAATACCTTTTAAAATTAATATATAAATATTAAAAAAAATATTAAAAAAAAATATTTTATAATATTATTTTTTTTATTTAAAACTTTAATTTCCTTACTATAATAAAGTATATTAAGTATTTTTTTTTATTTTTTTATTTATTTTTTTCCTTATTATTAGCCTAATAAGGCTATTAAGCTTTTAACCTTTTATCTAAAAGCTTAAATAATAAAGCCCTTATAGTAAGCCTATATCTTAAAGGTTAAAATTATATAAGGTTTATTTGCCTTAATAGTATAATTACTGCCTTAATTAAGTAGTATTAATACTACTTACCTTTTAGTAGCTATATTAACCTTCTTTCTTTACTTAATTTAAAAGATTTTAAATTAACTTTTTTATATATTAAGTTAAGTTTATTATACTTTTAAAGTATATTCCCTAACTTAACTATTAATTATAATTACTAATATTAATTATAGCTATTAATATAATACCTACTATATAAAATAGCCTATAGCTATATAATTATAATTACTATATAATTAACTATAACCTTAATATAGCTATTAGGCCTGCCTTAAGTATAATTAATAGAAATAAATTAAAAAAGATTTATATAATAATAGCTACTATTAAAAAGAACTTATTATTAAGGTATTAATTTAATTTAATTAAAATAGTAATCTTTAATTATATATTAATTAAGTTAATTAATTATATATTAATTAAGTTAATTAATTATATAATTTATTAGCCCTATTTTAACATAATTAATTTAAATTAAGTTTATTATAAGCTATTAAATTTAAAGGACTTAAAAAGAGACCTAAAGAAAGGTTATTCTTTTTAATTAAATTAAATAGCCTTCTTTATTGCCTTTATAGGCTTAAATATATATAAAAAGTGGCTTTTTAATATAGCTAAAAGGGTTATTATAATAGAGAGGGTGCTGCTTTTAATATAAAGTATATTTATATATAGATTTAAATAAATATAGGGTAATAGCAGGGTTTTAAAACTAAAGGTTTAAAGAAATTAAGTAGACTTTTATATAGGTTAGTTAGTAAAAGCTAAATTAATATCTACTAATTAAATACATATACCTAGGCATATAACTAATTGACCTTATATCTAAGAATAGATAAAGTGATATCAGTAAAGAAGCAGTGGTTTAAACTGGGGTTAAGTCTTTTTATAATTTAAAATAAATACCCTAAGCTTTCTAGCCTAATTATCACATTACCCAGTTCAAGGTCTAGATTGTTTTTTCTTATCAAGAGCAAGGATCGAGGGGCTCTGGCAACACTATAGAAGACAGGTCAAAGTTATCTGCTGACAGACACCGAGTTGTGCGTCAACTCAGGTGAACCCCTGGTAGGTAATCTTCTAGGAACCTAGCCAACAGAATTATACCTTCCAATCGAATTGAGAAAAGAGCTCTTATCTTTAGCTTCAAAACGTCCAATTTAGAACATCGTCGAAGGATTGAAGGCAGTGGTGCGCCCTCAGGAGGTCGACCCTGTTGCCAAATGATAGTTGCGGACAGATCCTACGCTTGGCTTGACGTTCATCGTGAACTTAGATAATGAGAGTCTGAGGCCGAGGATATGAGAGTGCCACGAAAAAGAGGACAAAAGATACCACGGGCAAAGATGTGTAGCCTCAGGGGTGAGGTAAAGAGAACAAGTCGAGGGAAAGCGTTAAGAAGTGGCACTCAAGGATAAAAAAAGAGAAGTTTAAGGCAGAAATTGGTCACGAGAGCAGCATCAGAATAGCGCGTCAAATTTATAAGAGCATCAAAGATGAATCTACCATTAATAAGCCTGTGTATTGATTCAGTGTAGACTCTTCTTTTTGGTCTTACTTTTGTCTGTTAGCGAGACCCTGAAACTAAGTTCCAGGCCTTCTCTAGCTCTGTGATCCACGCTCGTGGTTGATTTGTCTGCAACTTTTGGAATTGTCCGTAACCACCTTCGTAACAACCTGGCCAATGGCAGCATCGGTTGGCTTCAACGGCGTGAGCAAACGCGCAACGTATAGTTTGTCGGAGATGGTATTGAAGGCAAAATGTTGATCCCTTGAGTTACAAACATCCACAATGCGATTTAAACGGGAAAATGATGAATTTGTATTCTGACAGCGACAATGTTGCTATAGCGCTGGTAGCATATTGCCAGATCCCGATGATGTCTGTTGGTGGTAAGTAGGGTGCTGACAGAATGAACTTTTGTTGTCTGAGACCCCAAGACATGGTTGTCTGCTTCGTTACATTGAGTCACAGCTGCTTTATGCTGCATGATTCACAACCATTGACGCTTCTTGTCACTGCACACCCTGAAGACTCCTGCATCTCCAGCTTGCAGTGTCCTAGCCTACTCTACAAGAGTCTACATACATGTAAATGAACCCAATCTTCAAATTGTCTTCTCTTCTTTCCCTTATCCTCGATTATCACTCTCAAACAGCACTTGAGAGTCGCTCAACTTGACTGATAACTTTTATTCTTATCAAATCAAGGTTATATGTTCATCTACAAGCAATCCTGTATTCGGTTCGTCCAAGCTTCTCCCTACATTGTCCATCGTATGAGGAAGCTGACCATGGCAGACAATCTCTCAGCATGCCTTCCACCCCAGAATCTGGAGTGCGGATCACTCTTTACCAGGCCCCTTCCGATCCCCACGATATTTTGAGGGCCAAAGATGAGATCATTGCCAAGATGACAACGCGCACCACCCAGCTGAATGCAGACAAGGAAGACCTTCAAGCTCAAATCATGCAACGGGACAAGGAAACCGCCATACTACAGAATTTTATCCATGAACAAGCCATTGGTATCCGCGACCTCAATCTCAAGATCGATCGGCAAGAGGAACAAATCAAAGATCTCATGTATGAGCAAAATGTCTCCAACAGCACCATCTATGACAAAACGCATGAGATTGGTGAGTTGAAGTCTCAGGTCTCGAGACAGGAAAGGGAGCTCGAGGACCAGGGCAGAGAGAACGAAGACTTGGAGACTCAAATAGCCATTTTCCAAAGGGCCATCGATGAGGATAATATCTCGACAAGTTCTGACTCTTCTGGCATGGATTATGACTTGATGGATCTCTCGAGCGATGAAGAGGAAGAAGAAGAGCAGGACATCGGTACAGACAACGACATCTCTTCCACTACAGACAATAATGTTTTGTAAAACTTCAGCGCGGCCAATATCGATTCAGATAAGGATGAGGCGATGAGCACAGTAAGTATCTCCAAATCTTAATCAACCTTCTTTTACTAGCTAATATGTCTCAGTTTTACGGTCTGGACTTTTCCATAAGACTTTCTGTATTAATTATTGGACAATTACGGAGTACTAACCAGGGCATATCGGTCTTGTACTTTGGTGTTTGAGGATTAAAGACACTGGTGATCTGGGACAAAAGGGGTTTTGCATAATAGGAATTGGAACACAGATTATCGGCCCAGAAAATGAACCCATACTCTGAATATTCTATGCTATCCTCACTTGTGGCCTCGTGATAGATGGTGAGAATGTTGTCCGTATTTGGTGAGAGTATGATATACGGCATCAATTACCAGCCAGTCTCACCCACAAGATGGAAGATAAATTTGATAGCACGGTCTTTGATGAATGCGAAGTGCTTCCAGGCGCATCGCAATCATGGCTTCCTGATCAAAAGGTTGCAGAGAATTCAACAATTGCCAAGAGACCTGTGCCAAACACTTGACCCTCAAATCGTTAAGGAAGTTATAGATGGAAAAGTCGGAGTCAGATTGTCTGTACTTTTCTCAGGCCGTACTAAATTGAATTGAAACGGACATGAGACTAATTTAATCTCAAATCGTGAATATTGCCATTGCATGAGTGATCTCAATAGGTGCTCTTGGACGGTCGCGGTGTGGACAATGCTACAGATCATACTACAGATAACGCCACGGACGGATCTTGCAAAGGATAATATGGAAAGTTGAAGAATTTACGCAGTAGAATGTGGTTTTGCCTTCTCAAATCCGTGAATCTATTGTCTTTTACTAAATTTAAGAGAGCAAGCTCGTCTCTTAAAACAAATTGTCTGACCCCTTTTCCCTGTACCTCATGATTATTGCGTCGAACGTGATGGAATTGTCGGCCATTATGCCACTTATTCCCGTGCTTTTGCACACGCCAGAATGGGGTGTATACCTTCCTAGTAGAATCTACCATCTTCATAACTGTATAGCTCTCGATTTTCTTGGCTGCCGTACAGTTCAATTGTCATCAGGTTCCACTCCCACGGCCAATTTGAGGTGGTCGATTTCCTTCTGTTGCTTCGCAATCGTGTCAGACATTTGGGTGATCAAAACACTGAAGTGTGGTTTGCTGTCATCTGGGCCGTGCTCGTAGACCAAGCTCTTATCGAGCTCTCCTCCGCAACGAGTGAGGACGGCGTCGACAATGCCTTGGCACTCCTGTCGCAGTGTCTTCACACCATACACGCCGACCAAGATGAACCACCGTTCGTAGGTGATGTTCATCCATTTGGGCTCGTTGTTGATAGCATCAAACATCTCCTTGCTGAGCTGATGCTTGATAGGCTGTTCATGGGATCTGCCCGTGTGCTGGAAAACACCACTAACAAGCAGGCCACGCAGATCTTCGCCGACTTTTGGTGGCATGTCTGGACTATGCTTGTTGAACAGACGAGTGAGTCTGACGGAACTCTGGTAGTCCAGTTGGTTCGAATAGGAACCCCTAGGTAGGTCCTGGACAGCCAGTCGAGCAGTCTGAACAGAACGGGGCCAGGAGGGCTGAAGTCCGTTGACAACGTCTGCGTACCATCCTATTTAACCAGGTGTCAGATACATGGATCGTCTCAAAAAAGACAAGCGAGGGGTTCTTACTCGAGATCATGGCTTCGTTCCTTTTTCCGTGAGTCGGATGCTTCGCGCTGAGGGTTGCACCATGGACTCTTTCATAGTGTCGGCGCAGGGTTCCTTCGTCATGGTATTCGCTCTACTCTTATTAGCCTTCGGAGTAAACACGATGTTCTTAGAGTAAGACCTACAGAGTTGCAAATGATACCGCTGATATCCTCGCGCCATCGACACCAGACCTCGCCAGGGACAAGGTGGAGAGATCCATCCTGTATTGATTAGTTTCGCTCTGGGTATAGGTGAGAGGAAGTGATCACGAACCTTGAAGTCAAGCGGCGGTAGCTTTTCATCAGGGCGACCACCAGTCATTGAGGTGTACAGCTCGTAGTCTTGTGTGTCTTTGAAACTCATCGTGATATCCTGGCGCTACAAAACTGTTGAACTGCCGCTATGTGAGATGAAAGACTGTAAGGTAGTCACAGATAAAGGGAGATGAAAGTGCTTTTGTGTGATCAGACTATCTGATACAGATGAAGGAACGCAAAGGATAAGATGGATGAAGTGAAGATCAGTGAGGTGATGCTTGTTACAATGAATGCAAAGTGCTCTTGTGTAATCAAGTTATCTTGATTCAGATGAAGGAATGCGAAGTAATATTGAAGCCAATGAAGATTAAACGCGGCGATGCTTGCTCAAATGAAGGTTGGTTGGCTGGTTGACTGATGCGAAAGATGGATGGAGGAAGAAAGGTAGGAAGAAGCGATCACATGATAGGGAATTTATAGGCATCATGACTGAATTGTCCGTGTCTTGAGTCTCTAGGATCCTTAGGATCCTTAGGGTACTGCGATTCAGCGATTCAGCGATTCAGTGATGGGCCAGACACTTTCGACCCATGATTCACTCTTGATTAAATGACTATTGACAACACGTCCATGAAAGTGACCTGGGCTGGCTGATATACTTCCTTTCCTCTTTTCACATCTTCAAGCTATGGATCTAGGGGCCTTCATTGTTCTTCAACCTTGAGACTTTGACTACCGCACTCGAAGACGAAGGCTGGATGTACTCTGCTCTCGATACACCTTTTAGAGTCATGCTTCTTCCATGAATATCATTGCCTTCGAGATTTCAGGGGCTTTGAAATCCAAAACAGCACCGAGGGCTGCCTTTTGTCTTCTCTAATCTCCTGGACTAAAAGATACCACCCCTATTTTTTAACAGTAAGCTTCGTGATATAATATCAGGATAGTAAAAGGGGAGTGATGATATCGTCTAATTGCTCGGTATTAGTTGTATGAGGTCGCAAGTGCATTAGCTAGGCAATTTATTGAACATGTTTGGGTACAGACAATTATCCCAGTCTGTCCCCATAGAAGAGACTGAATAATAGTATACAAACCAGCGCCTAGACACAGATGCTCATATATAGATACCCTAACTGCCATCTCGTTCTGGAAGCGAGATTCTGAAACAATATTAATGAGGAGACTCTTTCATAATGTCTACATTGATTCCCTGTAATGTCTGAAGATAGGGGAACCATACAGGGACATCTTTATATTACCGGGTTTACGGACAACAAGAGCTCAATGAAGTTGTCTGGGCCATGTACCATGATATTTTACGTATTATGAAGGACTTCTATAAGGAGGATTATATTATTTTACAGATTGAAGGAATCGTTCTCGGTTTGGCATCTCCTCCTAAAATATGACCGCCAGAAATTCATTATCTGCATTATCTGCATTATCTGCATTGTCTGTAACCTACCTATAATATTACTCTGTGCTTATACTTTACAATGTCAATTGAGACCAATGGTACGGCCAGAATCAGCCCCGATGTAAAGGAACAATGAGAACTTGTACTCGGTGCAACTCCAGATTATAATGAAAAGTCCATGCGGACCTTAGGTTGTATGGTTAGAAACTATGATGATTCCCGGCAACCTGGAGTTCACTAAAAAGGGTCTGTCTAAACAACTGACAGGCGAAGATAATGTCTATTTCACGAACAAAATCATTCACAGACGCGAAGTGCTTCTTGCTTATGATATCTCGCATATATGCTGCTACAATAGTCTTCCATCTCAAGAAGATGACATAGGCAACCCTTGTTTCCGCGAGATTCACAGTGATTACCATTACGCCTTTCTTCATTTTCAATTGCACTGGCCGCTCATATCAATGCTGGCATATATAGAAGAGATAATACAAACCCTGATAGCACTGTGGCCCGAAAGTTTCGTATCGACTCTCATGAGATTTTCTGCCTCCTGAATGAGATACGGAAGGATATTGTGAACGAGACTTCACGCTCAGAGTGGAGAAGAGAGGAGATTGAAGTACCCTGTGTATGTTTATTCGCCCTCACCTACTGTCTGTATTCCATCTTCCTTGCATTTAGTGTCGCTCCTGTAATATCTGAACCTTCGTTCCAATATCTGTATATAGCACACTGCAACCAAACTATCCCCGCGAATCTCGCAGGTGCTGCTACCATTACCGCTGTGATTCAGATACTCAGCGGCTATCTTAGGTTTTGTGTGTAAGGGTAGAGAACATATCGTAGACCATGCATTCGGCGTTGATAATAGTTCCATAGAACACTGGACGATCATCAATGTCGATGATGGGGTGGAGATCCATATCGATGACTCGCTACTCGCGAAGGAGTACAGCAGGGATCGAATACTGCTCCCCATATTCAATTCACTCCACGCAAGAGTCTCGCGGACCGTCTTTGTCCCAGGCTTATAGGAGAAGAGTTAGAAGCAAGCAGGGGCTGTTGACGATGCCCTGGAGCTGGGGATCGAAAACAGGAGTCCAGCCGCCGTTCCCGTTGAAGGAAATACTAGCGAGTCTTTCGAGCATTCCAACGCGGAATTTTCGGAAGTCAGGACTCTTGATTAGGTCATGGGTGTCTCAGAGGGTGGTGTTCTCGAGTGCTGGATACACGTCGGCATGAGTGAAACGATACAGGTTGACACTTCCAGAGGAGATTTTACAAGCCGCAAAGAAGTTTCTAGCGCAGCTTCCTCTGGATGTGGCACCCCTCAACCTTACAATGGCCGCCGTTATCAATTGTTTTGATCCAGAGAAACTCCAGGGTGAAAAGAAAAGGGTCTTCGAACCCGACATCGAACACATAGGAGAGATTTAGGTGAAGCAATCATAAACCTGCCTAAGTTTATCCTAAACTTGGTAAAAACACTCCCCTAAATTTACTCAAGCTATCCTAAACTTGCCTAACTCGTTTTATCGTTCAGGGGCCAGGGTCTTGAGCTCTCTGAACTTCACTGATCTACTTCTGTGTTTGGTCCGTTCAACAGCCAGACGCTGCATCGCTTGAACCATTCTTCAGTTGAATTGCCAATTCGAAACCCGTGGCCATAATACAGACCTCAAGCCTCTGAAGAAGGAAGTCAAAGTCAAGAATTAGGGCGAGGGATATCAATGATGAAGCTCAGGGCTAGTCTTAGGACCCTATCTGCTGATATGTTCTACTTTCAAGGAGAACGTTTGTAAATAGAGACTTACGTCCGTCCAGGGAGGCGATCACATGAGATATTTGAGGACTAGATGATCTCCTTCAGGAGAAAGGCCATCTTGGAAGCAGCTTCAATATACCAGTAAAGTCTACGGTAATACTGGCTTGTCATTGTGACAACTGACGACAGCCTGCGTCTTGAGCGTGATTATCTGAAGAATGGCAAAAGACTCCCTGGCTTCTCTGGAAAGGTATCAGTTGAGTTAGCTATATGTATCACGGAACTGAGCTCCATCGATGGTGGATATAAGAAGCGCAATTCTGACATTTGTGCGTGAGTCGCCTGGCCAGATACCTATGTTATTACATGTATATCTATTAAGGACTTGTTTTCTTCAAGTGTGCTTGTATGAACATTTCATTTCAACGTGGCAAAATATATCGCCTCTGACTGATGCACATACACGCGTGCGAAAGTCGTTGACGGTCGTTTACACTATACTTCCCCTTTTCCCCATCCTTGTCCCGCTCTTCTGAAGCCATCATACAACCCAAACTCGTAAGTAGTCCCTCCACTCTGTTGATAGAGTCACTCATCTCTAGCAAGTGATGAGGGTAGAGATAAGGGTACCTCAATGCCATGAGAAGCCGCAATCGGCTCAAAATGAGTCTGGATAAGCCTCCCTCATGGTTGGTGGCGTGCATTGGGAGCTCAGCAGGTTTCTTCCATTTTGAGCGAGGCTCACCATACCACAGCGTTTCATGAAACGCACATGTGTGATTTGCGTTGAATATTCTTCATTTTGATGATCTTTGTAGAGGAAAGCGAGATTCCATGGTATGTTGCGAAAAGCGATGTCTTTAGTCTGAGCCTCTACCATGGTCTCAGTCATTCAATTGAGCTCAACAAATTGCACTCCCAAGTTACGAAATTGCGATGCTGCCGCCTTTTTGGCCAGCGAGGGGAGTCGTTCTTGAATAGTCGAAGCCTTTTCTGTCCGTCTTGTTGCATAGTCAGTCCGATTGACCAGTCGTCCGCCTGAACTCAAAGCCGATCTGCTTCATGGCTGGATGGTCCGGTAAGTTGTACCAGACCTGGAAGGTGACGCTGAGAATGAATTTATCCGTTCGTTTGTACAGCTCATTGACTCGAACTCGTCCTTCGGTCAATGGATGTCTCTGCGCCCATGACTGAATGGCGCGTAATGCTTGCCAGCCGCCATTGGCGATTTGAACTGACAGAACGACATCAGCTGCCTGTTCGCCCAAGGTTTGGCAAGGAGCTGGTATCAGGTACAAGTTTCTATTCTGCCGTATGGGTTGTAATAGCAGAGACGGTCCATGATCTCTAGGGTGTCGAATGAAATGGGGCAGAGAATCCAGCTCTGTTTCCCAAGAATCATTCATGGTGAAACTCTTTGTTGCCAACCGGCTATAGAGCTGTGATGTGGATAAGGCATGTCCACTGTCATGAGCGTGCTTCAGTTCTCGTACAAGGTTTCTACTGAAGCCGCGTTCGCAACCAAGACCATCATCGCACTCGCTTCCCCCCGAAGCGTAGGCGTAGATCAATTCTTTATGATGGCCTATGTAACCGCCGATCTCAATAGGACAGCAGCAGTCGAGAAGAATTAAAACGTTGGCGTCCCAAGGATCTATTTTGTCATGTCTTAGTGTAGGGAAGACAAACTTTTGGTCTTCCCCTCCATGGCCGATGTAGTGCAGGATAGCTATACAATCCTCATCCATTCTATTGAATAGAGCTTTGAGAGCAGATGTCAATGTTGCTTGCGGGTTGTTGTCTTGTTTCCGGATCACGAGGCCGACAGTATCGTAGCCATAAGTGTCTTTGAAGACATCTCGGACCTGCTCGCTGGTGCTTTCGACATGAGGATGACTGTCCTTGTCTGACTCGAAGCATACACACAGTGCCCTGACTTTTCTAGGTTTGAACTCCGTAAGATCTTCTTCGCTGTGCAAGAAACATGCTTTGATGACCGCGGCGCTGAGCTCCTCTGAAGTCATCGGCCTCGAGGGCATCGACTCAATACCTGGAACGGCCATGGCTTGTCTGATGCAATATGATGGAGGAAAGGATTAGTGAGGAAGAGAGGAGGCAAGACTCTGATGCAAAAATCCTTTCTCAATTTGACTTTGTGTTTGCCTTTGACTTCCTCAATTCAGGCAAAAACATATTCGTGATACATGCTTCGCTACTCGTTGAGCCGGGCGGCGATGGAGGATAAGGTTATCAGGAACTTATCGACTGAGTTTGTTCGGCAAAGCTCTAGAAAAATCATTTCGATCGAGTAAAGCCCAATTTCTGGTCTCCTCTATACTGAGCAGAGGAGGGAAAGTTATTCGTCCCGAAAAATTATTGGGTACTGATGTACAGTGAATGCATCTTGCTTATCTTTACGAGAGTTATACGGCAGCCGATAAAGATGTAACCCAATCGCAGCTTATCGCGGGGAACAGGGGGCAGTGAACAAGGCGAACAGACTCCAAGTAAGCGTGAGGTACATCTCAATTAAATATGACAGTGGATGTTTAAAAGGGCCAATATGAGACTATCTCCTGAAAAGTATACGAAAAGGCTTTATTGGAAAAATGGATAGCTGAATACCAGTCCTGCTTGAAGTTCAAGGATACAGCATAGCGCTCATCAGGGCGAGAAAAAGGTCACGCATGATGCGCACATATCAAATTGCTCAAATGCAAAACAGAAATATCATCTTCTTTGGTATATATGTTATCTTGAGTGACTTGGCGCATCATCTGTATATGTTGTCAAATAAACACAGCTTTATCTTTATATATTTGCCTTTGGGCTAGGTTTTGCCCGGCGAGCAGGCTTGCCTATGTGCTTTTGAAATTCTTCCGAAACGGTCGTCTTCTCTTCTTTAGACTTCTTCGCCCACTCTTCAAACTGGCGCTCATCTGCCCACCACCTCTCCAGCTCAGCCCCGATCCAGTCTGCCGCGGCACTTGCACACAAGCGAGGATCTTCCATGGGAACCAAATGGCCATTCTTCTCTCCAACAACCTTCTTGACACGACCCTTGGCTTCGCCACCGCTGCCCCCGATACCTGTTCCCGTGAGAGCCATCTTCTCGTCTATAAGTTCTGGTGGGGAAACATCACTCTTGCCACCAAAGACGTAGAGGACGCTGGGTCGGACACTGGGAAGTCGTTCAACGGTATTAGGTCCCTCAGGACGATAGACGGGATATGTTGACCATCGGCGGTTGAGGCTGGCATCAAGATCGGGGGTATGTTCAGGGTGAATCACATCCTTGCCCTCAGCATCGTAAGCCGGCCAACTTGGGCGTAGAAAGGTGAAAATCTCCTGATGCTTTGTCGTAGTTAAAGTCACGCTCTGTTCACCAGGAACGTCCCTGATACCAAAGTCGATCCATCGTTGTAGCACACGAGGGTCCCAAGACTTGTAGAAGGGGCTGCGGCTAAAAGATGCCACTGCTTCGTCGCGCGATGGCCAGACTTCACGGCGATGCATACTCGCTGCCGCAGGACCAGCGCTTCTAGCGCCAGGCGTGGAGGCAAAGTGAGAGATGACTGGGTCGAGCAGCACAAGCGATGTGAAGACGCGAGGATGGAGAAGGGCAACATTTGTGAGAGCGTTTGCGCCAAAGGAGTGGCCCATTGCCATTATTGGTGGCGGAGGGCGGAATGTGTTTATCATGTGGAGGATATCACGGGCATAGTCGAGCCAGCTTGCTGAGAAGATGTTAGCATTGCTGGATGGTAAGAGAGAGGGTGAGTCTTACGATCATTGCCAAGTGCGTCTTGGTTTATGAGACCGCTTTTACCTTGCCATGCTGTATCTGCTATCCAGATACTTCGAATTCGGATACCTCGGCGTTTTGATTCATGGTAGAACTCCTCCCAAAGGGGTTCATATAGTTCCTATAGAGATCAGTAAATGTGTTTGTATGAACAGAATTGATGTGCTTACCTTGGGAAAGCCATTGGCATGTCCTCCGACTATAGTCACGTCACCTTTCTGAGGGTTCTGGTTATCTTTGGGTGTATATTGCTTTACGTGAAGGTATAGCTTCTCATCTTGGGAATGAGCTGTAGCGCGGGCGTATTCTCGAATATGTGATGCTTCAATTGTATGCTCTTGAATAGTGAACGGAAAGGATGTCATTGTGGTAAGTGTTTTGGGACCTCAGCTGGCGCGCTCAATTCTAAATTCTAGTAGGTAGAGTACAGCTATATCAGGGATGGGATTGGAGAGCTGAAGTTATATACAGGCACACGAAACGAGGTTGAATTACGAGCCGGCCTCGGTAACGTCTGTGGGGCGCACGGGAGTTGTGGGGGTGGGGGATACCTCGGTACCTGCGTCCGGGAAGTGGTCGCCGCCGATCTCTCTTTATTCTAGCATCATCACCCGCCAACACCAAAAACATCATCGTGAATTTTGGCTTATCTCATCAAGAACCCACACACTTGCTGCTACCGGGCAGCACAGTCTCTTGGCAATATCATGAGAAGTCTCAAATAGGATTCCAATTCAATTCCTGGCGGTCAACACCATGGCACCACGATTACTCCTTTTTGCTGGCGCACCGCCAGCTTCGTCTCTCACAGCACAATCTTGCACAATAACACAAATCGACGACTCCTTCGCTGAATTTCTTGGGCTAGCCCATCAAGGAACGGCTCCAGTATCATCTCAAAGTATAGCTCCATGGCGTTCTCTGCCGCTGAACAGAAAACCCCTTCACACAGGCTTCAGCCAGACCCATAATATCAGCGTCAACCTCGCCAACCAATCCGAATTCTTCACCACGGCTGAGATCTCGTTTAAGGAACAATCTCAGTCTTATGAGGGCGAAGATCCAGAGAATGTGTTGTCGCAGTTTTATGACCATTCCCTAGCTTTACACAATTCGATCCCATCATCACAGCTTGACAGTTTCGAGGAGACGACATTTGAGGAGACATCGTTTATGACGACTTCTTCGACAGCACATTTGAATATGAGAGACACTGTTCCTTCTCATCTCTCTGATTTGGAAGATATACCGCCGGCTCGGAGGATTCTGGCTCTCAATCCCCAGACTGTCACTCTCAACATTATTGCCGGCATTATATCCATCGCACAGCCACGGACAGTCACAACCCGCTGGGGTCGCAGCCTCTCTTTAGTGGAGATTCTCCTCGGGGACGATACAAAGACAGGCTTCGCTGTGACGTTTTGGCTTGCGGAGGAGAACGATGCAGCTGCTGAGATTGGTGCCCTTCGGCGTCAGGATGTAGTTCTCATGCAGAACGTGGCACTTCATGTGTTCAAGGACAAGGTCTATGGTCAGAGTCTCCGGAGGGGCATGACCAAAGTGCGTCTACTATGGAGAAGGGATGGCTCTGGGCTTTATTCGACGCGAGAGCTCTCCAAGCGCGGTCAGATGCACCCGCAGTTACAGAAGGCGAAGCAAGTAAAAGATTGGGTGCTCAAATTCGTAGGAGCCGATGTTGGGGTAAAGACGAGAGCTAGAAAAACACGGGTTTCATGGGACAGACCACCAGATGACACACAATGAGGAGTCTTCGTACTGTAAGACCACTTTTATTAACCTTCTATGATATTAGACACTTATTACTACCGGCGCCAAATGCAACCGAGAGAAGAGAGACATCCGAGGGTATCTATGCAAAATTCCAATCGTCAAATTACGCTTCGATCCCATGATCCATTCAGACCGGCACAGCAGGCTCAGGCTTTCTGTCCTCGCCGTCTGGGCCCTTCTTGACAGACTTCCATCGGAAGCACAGGCAAGCAATCAGGGCACAGGCAGCGCAAGCAAGAGAGGTATAAAAGGTGTCCCGGAGACCCTTCATGTACGCATTGAGGACAGCGTCGAGCGCATCAAGGCGGCCCATCTTTCTCAGAGTATCCTCAATCTCCGAAGCTCCAGTGTTGATGAAGATGGTCGGGTCGATACCAATGTTATCAGCCTTAAGTGTGTCAATGAGGCCATTTTGAAAGACAGTTTGGCCCACAGCCACGAAGATGGCGCCTCCAAAGGCTTGGCCGAACTGAACAACAGCGGTGCCAACAGGAACCCATTCCTGAGGCAAGACAGTTTGAATGATGAGGACACCGATTTGGAAACCGGCACCAATGCCCAAGCCAGCAATGACTTGGTAGCCAAACCACTCCTTGAGAGGAGAATGCACATCGAGGGTTGTGAGCATGCCGCATCCGACAGTGTAGAGAACCATGCAAGGGATGATGACATAGCTGTAGTAGCCAATGGCGGTGATGACACCTCCAGAGACGATAGAGCAGAGGACAGTCGCGAGCAGGAGAGGGAGAATCTTAATTCCAGCCTGGACGGCGCTAACACCCTGGATGGCCTGGAAGTAAAGAGCTGAGAAACGTTAGTTGGGCGGACAGCAGAGATAGGGTGAGACTTACAGAGATAGTAGATGAGAGGGAAGAAACCGGCACCAAAGAACATGGCGAAGATGATGGCGGACAAAGTGTCCCGGTTCTTGAATAGACGAGGGGGGAGAGTTCCCTCATCACCCTTCCAGAATTGGATGCCAATGAAGATGGCAATCATGGCACCAAAACCACAGAAGAGACCGATGATACGCGAGTTGTTCCAGGGATATTCAGCGCCACCCCATTGCAAAGCAAGGAGCAAGCAGACAATGGCAGGGATGAAAATGGCGGCGCCAGCAAGGTCGAGCTTGCGAATGCGAGCCATGAAGGTCATGTTGATGGTGTTCGAGTCGTTGCGGTTAACCTTGACAAAGAAGAAGACGATGAGCATGGCCAAGCCGCCAATGGGAAGGTTGATGTAGAAACACCAGCGCCAGGTTGCATGTTCAGTAAAGGCGCCTCCAAGAAGAGGACCAGCAACGGAAGCGATACCCCACATACCACCGATAAGACCAAAGGCAAGAGGACGCTTTTCGAGAGGCACTGAAGCTGTGGTTAGTTATGGCCACGGAGCTAGTTTGCTGGTCTTGACGTACTGATGAGGGAGAGGATAACGATAGATCCGGAAAAGAGACCAGCCGTTCCAATCTTGAGGTGCCGTTAGTAAAGGTTCATGGGAACTGTGCAAGGCAACTTACTCCTGCAATGGCTCGACCGACAATGAATGCGACAGAAGATGGTGCAACAGCAGAGATCAAACTTCCAATCTCAAAGATGAAGACGGCAGCGAGGTACGCAATCTTGACATTGAAGTACTTGTAGATAGTTCCGTACATGGGCTGCAAAGCTGTGGTGGTAAGAAGGTACGAAGATCCATACCATCCAATATCCTTGACACTCTGGAACTGCGCTGTGATAGCGCCGAGTGCGGGAGCGATGATGGTCTGGTCAAGAGCAACGAGAAAGATGGCGAGGCAGAGAGACGAGATGATGAGGGTAAGCTTTGCAGCGCCAGGGTACTGAGGCTGCTCGTCAGCGGCATTGTTGTTACTGGCAATCACAGAGCCAGCCTGCTGCTCCTTGTTGTCGGCTGAAGTGTCGAGGATGTTGTTAGATCCAACTTCGGTCTTCTCATCAGACGAGAGACGAGTCTCGTCGACCATTGCATTGGTTGGCGCCGTGGCGGGTGTAGTCGTAGCCATGGTGATGTTCCAAAATTAAGGTGCTGTAAGGAGAGAAGAAGAAGAGAAGAACTGGAATATTTGTAGGAAGAATTAACGGTAGCGTACGGTAATAAGGTACGTAGGCTGTTATGGTGGAGAGTGCAAACGGCCCCAGGCAACCAAGCGTGATTGTTTCGGCAAGGGATAGGGAAAATGCAGCTTTCCAGTAACTGTTTGCTTCTTCCGTCGTCTGCAAGCAAAGCGTGAGGATAGCTTGTGCAAGAAGAAAAAGGGTTGGTGATGGATGAGCTGAAGATAATAAATAATAAGCTACCTACGTCAGGACCAGTCACTGGCACTGTTCATAGGTGCCGTGCCCCTTGCCATGTGATGGATGGACGCGAAAACCAAGCACTGGCACTCCAAGCTTATCCCCTAGTCTCATTCTCGTGGAAAACCCCAAAGCATCGAAATATCCGAGCTAGTATTGGATCCAATGTGATTACGATAACGAAATAAACGTCGTGGAGACGCGGCAGGGTATTCGTCCGTGTACCGGCCGGCGACAGTTGCAGCCAGTCAGCAGCCAAAGACATACACGATCAGCGCCTTCGTCCCTTGTTCTCCAGTATAATCGGGCTGACTCTGGTTGCGAGTTTGATACGATAGGCGAGCTGAACTGTCATGCACTCGCGTGGGTCGGACAAATCACCAAGGCCGATGTCCGAAGGGTGGCCTAGTGGCTTACTGGAAGAGTCATTGATTTTGGATCCCCTCTGCAAAGTTGTGAGGGTTCTCACGTTTGACTACGTGTATCACGAGGGCTATTGCTGCAAGGTGATATCGATGACCATTATGGAGTACAGACACTCCAACTCTTGATCTTGTCAGAAAACATCTTTCTTACTCAGGCCTTGACACTGATGAATGCTGCTCCCTTCTCGTAAAACCTCTACGAAAAAACCCTTTAATGACCATCCCCACAAGGCACCCGCTAAAAATACAAGCCCGATCTTTGACTCCCGGTCCAGTGGCATAGATCCCGTGCCAAGGGCTGATCTCCCATTCTCAACGTGGTCTCGACCGCTCTGTTCTGCCCCAAGATTGGCTCGCTCCCTCAATTTCCTCTCCTCTCGTAAAAAGCTGCCCCGGTTCATATTGTCAGTTCCACTTAAGGAGTACCTATGCATGGAGTACGTACCGTGCATTTTCGGATACAACTCAATTCTCCGTATCTATCTCCGGGTGCCGTCGGATCATAACAATCTCTCGCGGACTTCTACGCGCTTTGTTCGAGGCCGACGACCGAATGGACGGACGGACGAAAGAGCATCTGCTTTTGGTTTGACTTTGACTCTGACTCTGACTCTAACTCCATCTTTCACATACGTTTTACACGTTACACGTTAGACCGGTAACGCCCTTGCATTGTAATGCCAGCCGTGAAACCTTGTCATTTCCTTATCCGCAGTCAGGGCCTATACACAGCGTCTTGTCATACTGCCTTCTTCCTGTCGTGAACAGTGATAAATCCCTATACATGCATTTTGTGAACAGGCCGACATCAATAATCGTAATTTACGTGATAACCTCATTTATAACACCCACCATCTATCTATCTGACCCTCTAACTAATGCTTACATTGCTGACTTGATATGCGTAAACTCATATAAAAGCTTATGCTCGCTCTTCGGACTTCTCTTCTTCGCTTTTCTCCTCTCCGGGAACCCACACCAAAAGTCCTTCCTCGTCGATCTTCATCCCTTCTGTCGGTATTATGCGTAGCACTTTTTGGAAATACTTGTCTCGTACCGTCAATTTCGGCCTTATCCATACTCCGTTGACGTGCGGTAACAACCGATAGGTCGTTGTCCGCCTCGACTGCGGTAACAGGTTCAGTGTTGTCTGCTTTGAACCTGAAAATGCAAAGTCCTCACTAGGCTCCATGCTGAGACCAAAGGTAAGGAAGTGATTGGATGGATTCTCGACTGTCATGTCCAGTTGCATCAGCGCCGGCATGCCATCTTCTGCTTTGGTGGCGCGATACACCGATGCCAGTACTCGCGGCTCTGTGCCCAAAACCAGATATTTACCTACGGGCATGGTTGTTGTGTTGACGGCTCCGTCGCTGCGGTTCTGGCGTTGCCATCGAATGACAAATGCCAACTCGAGTGTTACAGGGTGCCGATCTTCCATCGTGAGCTTCTGGGCTATCAGATCGAACTGTGCCTCGTGCATCGTTTTGGGGGCAACAATGACCCCTTCCTGTGGCACATCCGGTCCCTGGCTCACGTTGCATCTTGCACCACCAACGCATGAGACCACAGTGAGATCCATCCCAAGGACCTTCAAGTCCTCTTGGGCAAACGAGGCATAGTGGCACAGTAGGCACCACTTCTGTGTGAAGCCTCGGGCAACACCCTCTTCAGTATCTCCTAGTCCCTCAGAGTCAAATAGACTCGGCCAGGGTCCAGGGTGAAGTCGTGGAACCAGATCGTAATTTGCCTCAAATGCATTCACAACGTTGAGCTGAACCGTCAATAATTGCATAATCGGCGTTGCAACGTCTGAGTCTAAGTGGTACGACGTCTTCAAGTGTAAATCGAATGTCGTGGGGCCCGGTGCTGCCTCTATATGAAGCACCATCTTGACTGATGCTGTGCTCTTTATGGCACCCAAAGGAAGTCCCAAGATTTTGGCCTCCTCTGTGGTTGATTCGGCGCTGCCCTTATTACCTTCCGTCACCACTCGGATTTCCGGTATTTCTTTTCCAAAGAGGTGAATATCCAGTTTAGCAGTTGCGGATTCGTCTTCGGCATTGATCAATTCGACCTCCAACTCGATAGCCTCATTTGCGTAGTACTGAGCTGAGGGTTCCAAGAGTTTGATCTCCATCTTTGGCGGTCGAGGCTGAATACGGATGGTGCCTGCTTCTGGTCGGCTACTTCTGGGTTTTGATGAGCCTTGGATGTACCAGCCAACAATAGGATCGGTGTCCCGAATTCCGATTTTAGCGTCTAGATCGAAACTTGCATTGCTGTGTGAGAGCGTTACGGATGAGGCCGTAGCAGTTCCTGGCTCCCTCAAAGGAATTTTCATTTCGAACACTCGTGTCTGACCAGGACGGAGTGTCAAGTTAGAAGTTCCTTTGAGCAGTGTCGGCAATTCGTCCTCAGACCCTTCAGTATAGTCTTCCGTCAGCGATAACGACAAAATGGAGATCTTGGAGGCCAATGACGAGTCCTCATCCTCTGGAGCCCCTTGCTCTAGCAATATTGGCCTGAGACTCCCACTGAACTCAACCTTCAATGACTCAAATGTGATCGGGGCAGCATCGAGAAACGTGTGCGATGTGAGCGCAAGCTGTGCAGTACATGTCTCGCCAGCCTTGCCCTCTTTATTCCGAAACACGAAAGACGCCGAAATGAATGAGCCGGTTTTGTCGTCGCTTAGACTAATTGATGGCTTCTCCTCTGCTGTGATTCCTTCGAGTGATCTGGTAATGTCATAATGCCACTGTGGCTGCCGCACGAACCCTGGTCATGGTTAGTTATACTGCACTCGAGATTATGGACCGAAATACTCACTGTTGCTCATGAGCTCCCAGTCCGCAGCAACGACTAGATCTGCACGGCGAGCTCCAAGGGCGATTCTTCGCAAAGTCAAACACAGGTCCTCTGATATATTGAGCCAACCCTCCGATCTGAACGCCACATCCTCCCAGAATGGTAGCAGGGTTTCCACAGCATCGTCCCATTGTTTCAGATTGGCGAACTCCCTTGCGCACTCTAACGATATCTCAGCCGTTACGCGCTTTTGCTTTCGAGCTCGGAATTGTGACGTCGCCGCTTTGAGACAATCAATGATCAGTTGCGCATGATTTACACCTGTGCCCGATATTGGGTATTCTTGGTACGGCTCTGGGCACATGTACGTATCGTATGCGAAGGCCTTGCTGGCTACCGCTGATGCGGGAGTTGTATCTGGCGAATTCCTATCCTCTTCGGGCATCTGATACGCAAGGTTCCGGCGAGCCACAAGATGACGTGCTGCTATGCGATACCAGTATCCTGTATGGTGCAGCAACTCCCATGGTGACACTCGCTCGCCTAGGACAGACTTGTCCGGTGGGACGAACAGAGCTCCCGTTGCTGGTGCCAAAGCTGGCAAACCTACTCTTTCAATCAGATTTGCCATGACTGTAGCCCACCGAGCTTCCCAGGCCTGCCATCCATAGTTGTTGGTCCCTCGTCCGCGTCGATCGACAAAGTCAGCAATCCGTTCTCGATGTGAATGCCACATTCTGACAGCCAGCGTAGTTTGGCCGAGCCACAAGTGACATCTTAAGCACCGGATAGCTATGACATCCGCCAAGAGTCTTGCTTCGTTCCAGCGAGGGCTCCAACTGGGGATTATGTCCAGCACATCCTGTCCAAGAAGTACCTCGTATGCTTGCTTGAAAAACTGCAGCGCCGCATCTGTCTCTTGTCGGAATTCTGCGAATATGGCCGACTTAAAATCGTATCTGAAATTCCAGTCTGGGAGTGAGAGAGTCTGGGATGTCCCGGTCGTAGGTGGCACGGTCGGTTGAGGTGCTATTCCACGCGATCGCTTCTTCCTGGCATGTCGTCCAAGATCCCGATAGTATTCCACAGCTGAAGTATAAAGCACGCCCAGGACATTATCAACAACCTGTTTTAAGTCGTCCTGCGACTCCTGTGATGGGATGTAAAAGACCGACTTTGGGTCCAACGCTGTTCCTCTCCGTATGTTCTCCAGTCTCTCTTGAATCCCTTCAGCCAACGACAGAGGAGTGCCTTCGCCGTCCGCGAGCAGAACTATAGCTAGCCGTGTCTTGTACCCTGAGCGTAGCAAAGCACTCTTGAGATTGTTGATATCGGTCTTAATATGGTTATCTTGGAGCGTCATGGAATTCGGGTCGTTCGTGAGGGGGTAGAAGCACAGGTACACACTAGGGACGAGGTCCTGGTGCTTCTTAATCCATTGCGCATCAATATGACCGTCGGGATATAGTGCC